ATAATATTTTTGGCAATATATTCATTTTGACCGTAGCGGTCCTCCCTAAAAATGAAATTTGCAAATTTTCCCAATTTTCTAAATCTTTTTTTATCTGGTGTAATATTTTATCATAATTGTCCTCCTTAATCGAGGAACATTTCGCTGTAAGCCAGATCCCTAAATATTTTATTTTCTTGGTTATACTTATCTTTATTTTATCTTCTTAAATATTGCTTAAGTACTGAGTTTGATTTTTCCAATTGACCATTCCCTTGCGGGTGATAGCTAGATGTCAGTCCCTGAGTGGTCCCTAAGAGGGATAAAAATTCCTTCCAAAATGCAGACGTAAATTGCACTCCCCTATCAGATATGATGCGTTGGGGTGCCCCATGCAATCTGTAAATAGGCTGCACGAAAAGATTCGCTAAGGCTTTTGCGGTGGGAATCGTTTGGCAAGGGATAAAGTGCACCTGTTTGGAAAACAAGTCCATGACCGCCCAGACGACAGTATTCCCATTGCTTTCTGGTAATTCCATTATAAAATCCATGGCTATTTCCCTCCAGGGGGCTGAGGGATTTGCCACAACCTCTTGGCAGTTGCACACTTTGGGCAGCTGGCCACATAACTTTCTATGTCCTTTTTCATGGATGGCCACCAAAATTGCCGTTTAATTAAGTGTAATGTTTTTACAAATCCAAAATGCCCTGCTGATTTTGTGTCATGGCAAAGCTGCATGAATGTAACTCTTTGGGTGGTTGGTATATATAACTTTTCCCCCACCCAAGGCAGTCCGTCTTTCATTGTGCACACGTGTTTATTTTTCTGGAACCATTCATCTGTTTCCAAACTTTTCCGGAATTCAATTCCAGATTGGCTACCCAGCTGCGGTTTTAATTTAGCTTGGGCTCTGGTGGTTACTGGCGCTGCCAGTTGTGATTCTACCATCATCGGTTTAGAGTCGGTGGCTCGCGTGCTGTTATATTGGGGCATGCAAGTGCATCTGCCAGGAAGTTCTTTCCCCCCGGCAAATGTTTGAGTGTAAAGTGGAATTGGTGAAAATGCTAGGACCAGTGGGTTTGCTTGGGGTTGAGCTTCCTGGGTGTTTTCAAGGCTTCCAAATTTTTGTGGTCTGTCCACACCTGGAAAGGGATTTTATTGCCTTCCAGGAACTGGCACCATGTGAGTAATGACCAACATATCCCGTATGCCTCTTTCTCCCATACGGGCCAGCGCTGTTCCGTTTCGTTGAGTTTCTTAGATGTATACCACAGGGTTGCAATACCCCTTCATCGTTTTCTTGTAATAGTACAGCCCCCACTGCCACATCACTTCCATCCGCCTGTATTACAAAGGGCTTATCCATGTCTGGGTGCCTCAGTACTGGTTTGGCAGAAAAAAAGTCTCTTCAATCTTTCAAATGCCGCTTGGCACTCCATTGTCCATTTTAGTGGCTGGCTAGGTTTTATTTTTTTTATAAATATTTTATTAAATATTTTATAGGTAAAAAAGGATAGGATCAATATGGGTATGGGAAAAGGGAGGGATGTGGAATTTGGGGTAGGGTAGGGGTAAATACAATAATGGGGGCAACCCCCAACAATAATTTCATGCTTTAACAAACAGGTTTCCGTCCGGGTCTAAGTATTAAATAACATAATTCATATCGTAGTCAGCAATCATGCGATGAAGTTAACTGTAACCATCATACTAAAAATTGATAGACTTTCTTTAAATAGGTAAACAAAATTATTAAAATCTCATCTAATCATCATTATCATCATTAGTACATTCTCAAATTATCATAATTATCACATTATCATTTAAACACACTAAAAATAACAATATTATTGACCTAAAATCTAAAACTTAGTTAAAAGCCCATCATTTACGTATCTCTAACCATTGGTAAAAAATTTTCCCAAGTTTTAAAATAAATTGAATCATCTTTCTCTTTAATCTCCAGTGTTA